CGATATTTAGAGTAATTAACGCCATTAGCAATCATTTTTTAAATATTTTATCTGCACGATATTAAATCTCTTTAGGTTCTCAAAGTCGAGACAAAGTGTAAATAGGAAAATTAACAATGTTTTAAATAATGACTATATTTAAGAAGATTGACGTTTAACTTCCAAATCTCAATGATTTGTTCCTTGCCGTGTGTGTAAAAAGATTTCAATCAGATTTGAATTAGATATTGTCGATGTATCTGTGGTTCGATGTAGAATTCTTTTATTTATTATTTTCGAATTCTTACGAAGCTTTCAAGCTTCCAGAACAGTTTAATACTCTAGTATTTTGATTAATTTTATCGAATAATTCATGTCTAACAAACGATTGCCTCGATGTCAGTTTCAAATCTCAGTTTGAAAGCTCTCAAAACATCGGGAATATAAATTAAAAACGAAGGAAAGTCAATTTCAGTCGAGAGATTAACAGTGTCAAATATAACTGAATGCAATTTGAAATAATTTCAAAATTCAAGTAAGACGTGAATTTTTTACTTTCAACGTGAGTTTTCGAGAATTTGTTTAGAAATTTATTTATTTCTCAATTTCAACGTTGAATTCTCTTTTCAATCAACTTACGATCTGTGCTCAGATAAAGTAAAATCTAAGAAAATTGTTACTATCCTTCATTCGATTTGCACTTTCGCCGATAATAGGGAATAACAGAGTGGGCTAAAAAATCGACTTTACAATTAGAAGAAATCGTCCTTTTGGACGTTTCTACGAGTGATTCGGATCTTTGAAAAGCATAGAATAATACATCCTGATACGATTAAAGTATTAAATTGGAACAAATATACGATTGTTACATTTGCAAAGACTACTGGACCTCATTCCTCTTCCCCTCTGTGTTGTGAGTTTTATTACATTGATCTATCGATCTATCTTTTTAAAGATTAAAAAGAAAAAAAAATTATCGATATCTTTTTTAGATTAAAGATTAAATTGTGGAAGTGGTACGTGATGAGATAAGAAATAATCGAAAGGTAAGTGGTGAAAATCAAACTGGAATGTTACTTGAATGCACACGCTATTTATTTTGAATGCATAAATCGTACGGTTAACATACCTGGGCTTTTTCGCGTCATTCTGACTGATCAAAATCTTGCACCGGATATAAATGATGAGTTCGATCTCGCCTTTTCAATCGGATATCTGGGGGATTGGAATCAACTATAATATAAGTGTCGAGATATTCTTTACGATGTACACACAACAAACGTTCAATTATTCTTGCTTCTCTTCGACTTCTTACACGAATATAAATAATACCGACTTAAAAACTATGTTTTTTTTTTTTACGCTCTCCTCTCTCTCTCTTTTTTTTTTTATTTTATTTATTCGCCTATAGAAATTACGTCTAAGAAACTGTGGTTTAAAATCTCTGCGAGACTCTCCCCATTAATGCTCTATTTTTTTTTTCTTCTTCTTTCCTCTTTGTTGCTGTCCTTTCACAAATTTCCCTCACGTGTGATTTCTTCTCCCCCCCTTTTTTTTTTTTGTTCAAATTTCTTCCCTCCGAATTTCGGCTCCCGATATGAATTGTGTTCCTTTTATTTCGCCGCCTCGTAGTCACGAGAAAACTTACAATCTTTACGCTTTCTCGCGAGAAAATATACGCCAGACGTTAGGAAAGTTTCCTTTAAAAATGTGGAAAAACTAACGAAGTGTACGTGATTCCAAAGGGCAAAGACTAGCAAACAGCAGTCCTCATACTTTGTAAGTTCGGTCGAAATAAACATAGACTCATAGCACACAGGGTAAGGCTCTCGTATATATATTTAAGTTCAAGTCTTCCAACATTTCCGAATTCTTTTTCGAACTTTCAAGTTTTAAGGAGAAAAAGAAGAAGAAAAAAAAATAAATAAAACTTGGTGCATGATTAAAGAAAACTTTTTGCAACATCGTCTGCACATACGTAGCGCTTAACAGAGAAGTCGAAAAATAACTGTATCGATCGAAGTAATATAGTCTATCAATGATTAGTTTTCAATTTTCTCGATTTATTCGCAAGTTTTATGTATAATATTGCCGCTTATAACAGAACATTTTAAACGTTCAGCTTCGAACGGATGTCTCGAAGATTTTCTTTACCGGTGTGCTGCTCAATTTCTCCTCGGTCGATAATTATCCTCGGTCGATAATAAGCCAATATAGTACCTTGGCTGCCTATTATTACTTAATTACCATCGAAACGGAAATATCTCGCGACGTAAATTCCGCTAACAATCATATTGGAAAATTTCGGTACCTATTAGTTTCGTAGGGGAAAGCAACTCCCCCTTCTATGGTGTCGTCATGGACTACCATGGAGATACTCTGGCGGAATGGACGCCACTTTGACCCATTGCTAAGTATTTTTTCGTGATCGTAACTCGCGACACAAACGAGAGATTTCTTTTATTTGAGAAGAAAATTGCACGCGTCCTGAAAACTATTTTGTTTATTATACTAGAGACCAAAGGAATTTGTTGGCCAAGGATCTATATCTGTTTACAACTGCTTTTGAGGTTAGGTTAAGAAAAATTATATTTTCTGTCACTTTTTATGGTTTGTATGTAAGAGACTTTTCAAGATGTTAAAGGTGTCTTACCTTTTAAATTATGTATAACCTGTGATTTATTTTAATTTCAGGGCATCGTGATTAGTAAAGAATTTGCTGTGCAACCATGGGAATATAACTCAAATTTGTAACAAGTTTCATTTGGCAAATCCACGAAACAAATCTTGTCCAACTGAGTCCTTTGGTCTGTAGTATTGTAAGAGAAGTACAATAGCTACATGGAAAACATAAACGAGAGAGATTATCAGGAGATAATTATCGATTATTTGCGGCATAAAAGTTTACAGTACTACCGTAACTGTTTCGATTGTTTTACTGATTATGTGAATTTTCTGAACGTTTTCTCGTTTCATTTTTCTCTTTTAGAGTATCGATGATGTGCGAGTCTACGACTAAAAGACTTCTAAAGATCTGTATTTCGTAAATTCGTTCAAGACAAAAGTATTTTTTTGTCGTGCTTCCAGGCGTGTACGAGCATTTTGGATATTTCAATTTATTTCAAACAATCGGATTGAAAAGTAACTTTGGGAGAAAGCAACTGGGAAAGCGACTGGGAATCGAGGAATCCCTCTGTAATTCACATTCGTACACGTCGATTCGCAAAAAAAAAACTTTCATCTCCACGTAAAAGAAACTTTTCGCAAAATTTATTTTCTTATGTTTGATAGATCTTATCGTCAGACGTGACGTTTATCATCATCATCGTCGTTATTATTTTTATTCTCCTCTTACGTACGTTCTTCGAGTGATTTTGAAGAGAAATCGCCTTTGGATTGGTCAAAGGCAGTCGACGATCATCGACAACAGAACGATTTTACTGAACGATTGCAAGAGCTGCCCTTTCATCGATTTCGAACGTCTTCTCCTTGCGTTCTCCTGTATCTAACGTTTGTAAGACTAACGTAAGTCAAAGAAACTCAAGCCTACGGAGAGGATGTCGATACCGATGACCACCACGGTCACTGTAGCCGAGGGGACCAGTATTGCGCTGCCATGTCTGGTGCTGGTTGACCCGGTACTGCGATCGGCACGCTGACACCTGGTGATATCAGACCTGGAACAGAAGTAGCTGCTTGTTTAACCGAGATATTTCATTGATGAGATTTACACATTGGCGTATTTACAACAAAACCCTCGTATCTGTGAGAAGTCAGCGAGCAAATTCCAATTATCCAGGCGTGTTGAATTAGGATTTTAGAGAACTTTTCGTTTAATTTCTTCGAACATGGTAGATAGATACACGGGGTTTTCTTGTACTCGTGTTATTTTAGCAAATGTTATAGCGATTATATTGATGTAGGATATCAGTATGGAGACTAAATATCGAAGCTGTGGAATCTTTCAAGGTGAGAATTTTATGAATAGAAATACAGAAGGAATAAAAATACAGAAAATAGTAAGTCTTACGAATTCGAGAGCAACTGGAACAGGCTTATAATTTTATTTTTTAACACTAAGCTGGCTAGATAGGAATGTTTATGTGCATGTTTAATATCACATTAATGATTAATAGGTGAGCATATTCTCATTATTTTCAACTTTTGACCTTTTGCGACCTAAAATGACCTTTTCATCATATCTTGTTAAACTTAATATCTCTATATTGGGCCTAGAAATATATACTGTAGGATATTATATATATATATAAAAGAGAGAGAAATACCGTCACCTTGAAACCTACGGATCTTTGGGATAAAACTACTTACACCACGCTATCACGAACTACAACATTTACTTTCCGGCTTTTAAAATAGTTAATTCCAATGAACGAAGAATTTTTTCGGGACTTTTACTTTCTCCGGAATTCACAATTGATCTGTGTATCCTCTTAAGCCTCTGGCATTTTAATTATCCTATTCTTTGTAACAAAATCAGGTTTAGAAGGAATCATTGAATCAATTCTCAAAGCAGCGTGTTGCTTTAAACCGGTCCAGCAACAACAAACACACCACGTTAATTACCGCGCGACAAAACCTAAGAAAGCCCATTCGAGCTAGCAAAACTCAACCACCCAAATTCAGAGAGACTAACAACCATTACTATGCATGTAGGTATAAGCTGGGAATGGACGTCTGTAATAACGATAAAAACACCTTGCGGTAACGCAGAAGCGAGTATAATCCATTACCGGGAGATTGGATAGCGTGTTATCCGTGGTAGTCCATCGGCTAAAGTGCAAGCAGCGAGTGCAGTGAGTGCGGTAGACACTCACCGGTGGAACTGGTATTCTGATTGTACTGATTCAGGCCCGCGGTGTGGTATGGCTGGGTGGGACTGCACGTGGGTCGTGCCCCGTATCCCAGATGGAGGGGCTCGTAGCTCGGTGGACGAGCCACGCCACACGAGTATCCGTTGTCCCGTTGCTGAAGGCACGCTCCGGGACTTGGGCCCACTGTCATGCCCACGGTCATGCCCATGGGACCCATCCCACCGCCTGTTGATAACGACGACATACTGCTGGTGGTGTGTTGGTTCTGCTGGCTACCGCTGGACATCGTGAAACTCGGCATCGACGTCATCGGGCTGCAAGATTTTACGAGAGTACTCAAACGCTAAGTGAGAAACAGGTACATTTCCACCAGTAGAAATTTGTGCAATGTACAAACTGTACAATGGACTGCAGATTTTTGTGCATATTTATAGTCATATGAACGTGTACTTTCTGCAAATTTCCCATGAATATATAAAATTAAAAAAATATGCAGTCTAGTTACGTTACTTGCAAACAACTACTATATATAGGGATTCAAAACTGTGATAATTTGAAGATTATAAATATAATGTACAAGTATTGATTAATTAGAATATTACAAGACTTTTCATTATATCTTCATTATATCTTAATTAGACAATTTCTATTTAATACTGTACATTACATTTTATGTAATTATTCTTATCTTTTATGCAAACAAATTCATAAAATGTTTATCACGTGGATTCGTTTTTGTAATTATTAGTAATTTATTGATTACACAATTAAACTACCTGTGGAATTTATTTATATAATAATGTTAATCGTTAATTTGCGATCGATTTTGGTCAGTTTTAACTACAGTTTGCAAGGAATTAAATGTTGTACGGACGAGGATCTCGATCTATTATGGAAAAATTTGTAAATCTTTATTCGTGAGTTTCCCACGACGAATGGGATATGGGAAGAAAGTTGAGGATCTATTTGAGAAGATACGACCGCAAAAGTTTGATGATTAATTCTTTAAACAATTTTTTTTTGCAATTAAAAAATTAGCTCGTTCATGGACACACAAATGCTAGCGGCGCGTAGCGGTGAACTGGTGGAACTAATTTATATTGCTGTCCTTGTTGCACACCACTGTTCTCCTTGTCTACCACGCGGTCTATGTCTGTTTTTGTCGCACACTATTGCTTTCCTTGTCTATTGACCGGCCAAGTGCTGGCATCTATCGGAGACTGCGGGAACTAACATGCATTACCGACATTGTATTACCGACTGTGGCAAGTGCTGCCATCTATCGGATTTTTCCAATTTAGCTTTTAGTTCCAGTAAAAAATCACAGTGGCTCAGGTGGCAGCATCGCCGGCAGACAAGGAGCACAATAGTATGCGACAAGGACAGACGTGCACTGCGTGATAGACAAGGAGGGCAGTAGCGTGCGACAAAGACAGCAATATAAATTAGTTCCATCGGTTCACCGCTACGCGACGCTAGCATTTGTGTGTCCATGAACGGGCTAATTTTTCAATTGCAAGAGAAACTTAATTTAGAAGATTAATTATCAAACTTTTGCGGTGGTATCCGTTCAAATAGATCCTCAACCTTTCTCTCCGTATCCATATCGTCGTGGGAAACTGACTATAATAAAGATTTACAAATTTCTTCCTAATAGATCGAGAAACTCGTTCGTATCGGCGAGTTACCGAATCGTCGCTGCCATTTAATCCTGAAATTGTGACAGATGACTAATTAGAATAATTAATATCACATTGCTAAAATTTCCGGCATCTCCGTTTTATTATATTCGTATTATAGACCAGATAGCATCCATCTAATTCAATGCTAAATTTCTCCAAGCGGCTGGCCAATAACCGGTTAAGGGTTTAAACATCGAGCACCATCGAAGAAACGACGAGTTGATTCTCACCTATACGAGTCTGGCATGCTGGGTATTCCCGGATAAACGGCCGTGGGTGCGAAACCATGGTGTATCCTCGGTGGAGAGGGTGGTGCTTGCGGCGGTGGTTGACTAGCCAAAATACCCGAGGCTGGTGGCGGTGTCGGATGGCCAGCACCCACCAGACTCACCCCTCCGGCGTGTTGTTGTTGCTGCTGCTGTTGCTGTTGCTGTTGCTGTTGCTGCTGCTGCTGCTGCGACTGTTGCTGTTGCTGCTGTGGCTGCTGGTGTTGCGGGTTGTCCCTCCGTTGCGTGCGCAATTTCTCTTCGCGCCGCCACTTGGCCCGCCGATTCGAAAACCACACCTGAGTTAGTGAACGAGAAGACAGACGAAGATACAGGTCAATCGCTAGGCTACAGGTTCCGCCTAATTTCGGTCGTCTTACTTTCTCGGGTCTTTGCTCTTTCGTTTCTCGATCCGTACTTTTTCGCAGACGCGTCACGCACGGATCGGTCACGCGAGTTCAGCCGGAGATCGGCGGCTTCGCACTCTGGAGTTGCGCCTTTTTCTCACTTATACATTGGGATATTTATCGTTCGTTCGATATTCTATGCGAGTTGCGAGCGTATTCATTTCTATGATGGACGAACGTGTAAAATGTCGATCGGTAAGATTTTTTTCAATTTCCCCTGCACGGGGACGCGCAAGTTACTCTAGGGGGAGGGGGCTGTAAAGTCCTCGTCAGGTGATTAACAACAAAGACTCGACGTTAAAAAATAAAATGCGATTTTTATTACACAACATAATATCAATGAAATATAATATTCGTCATAATGTAAAGTATAATTTTATTAAACAGTTTGATAGAGAGAAAAAAAAAAAAAAAGAAAAGAGAAACGAAACTACAATAAACCGATGAGGAGATGAACTTGCGAACGAAAAGTGTAAAAAACGATGTACGAAGCAACACGGATGCGGCTCTTTCCTCGGTGTTGCAAAGGACTGAAGGATTAACACATGATACAGGATAATTGCGGATGTAACACAAAAGAGACGACCGTTCTCGCGCTCGATTACACACACGCGCGCACGCACGACAGTAGCCGATGGAATTTTTGGAAACGAACGAAGAGAAAAAGAGAGAAAAAAAGAAGAGAATTGATAGGAAAAGTGTATAAAATATATAGTCACCTGTATTCGAGCTTCCGGCAGGCCGATCTTGCCAGCGAGTCTCTCCCTGGCGAATACGTCTGGATAATGCGTCCTCTCGAATTCCTTCTCCAGAGCGTCGATTTGCTCGTTGCTGAAGCTCGTGCGATTCCTTTGAAGCTTCCTTTTTAAACGAAGACGCGCCTGGTCGTCGTCCGTGCCTCCGGACACACTTCCGGCGTTGCTGTTGTCGCCGCCGCTGTTCGTCTCGTCCGAGTGTGCGCCGCCCTCCAGTTCCGCCACTACGAAAAGGAGGAAGAAAAAGAAGAAAAAGAAGAAAAAAAAAAGAAAAAAGAACGCCGTTAGAAGATTATCGTTATTCGTTTAATTGCAAAGGGAAATCGTTGGAAACTTTCGAAACGTATGAAAATATGTAAATTCCGCTTGCACGTGCATACGATATATCGACAATCGGCGAACGATTTATCTATTGGCTCGTGACGATTCTTTCTTGAAACGCGTGTTCCCGAATGCCTGTCGGCATAATTTATTACACGAGCAAAGGCACGAATGAAACAACAAACGAATCACAGAGGAATTATCCACTGGCGCGAAACAATCGAAGCCCATGGCGTTCGGTTTTAATTCAAATGGCGTGCGTCCACGTGATACTTAATTCTCGCATGACCGCCGTTTTATTTCCCCGAACAACGTTTACGAACGCTATGCCCTGCGGCGAAGGATCCACGTTATCCACGACGATAATCACCTGCTCGGATTATACTTCGCAACGGTGTAGTTTCAACTTTCAACAGACAGGCACGGGAAATTCTAAATTTCTCATTCAAAAAGAAAGAAAAAAGGAAAAATCGGCTAGGAAAGCCTATCGATCGCGTGAGTAGAGCGTCGCGACTTTTTACTGACCCTGCCCCGCTCTCTCGTTCCTTCTTTCTTTCAAGGGTCGTCGACAGAGGCCCTCGTCAGTTTTCTTATATAAATATCCACGTGCGTGTACGATTTTTCGCCGCGTAGGTGAAATATATATATATATATACGTATATACGTGGATAGGTACACGTACGTGCACGTAGAAACGCGAGTAGAACGGGTGGATGGGTGGGTGGAGGATCGAAGGGGAAAGGAGGCGTTGCTGGGTGAACCTTATCGTCGGTTTCTGGGTGAGCGCGTCGAGGCGTCACTGGGTTTTGGCTCGACGACGAGAACTGCCTGGAGGGTTGCACGCGGGGGAGTGGGAAAAGCTGGTGGAATGGCTGGCTAGGGAAAGAGGGACGCACGATAAGACGTCGCAGCGTCCCGACGCCAGCCGTCCCTCTTCTCCCTCGCACGATACGCCTCTGTCATCCGTGCAAAGTGCCACCCTTTTCTCTCTCTCTCTCTCTCTCTCTCTC